CCGGTTGGCAACCGGTTGAATGAAATAATTCGGTTCGATTAACCGATTAAGGAACTTTTTCTCGGTTCAAATCACTAGCACAAACACAAGTTCTATCAAAATTAACGACCGAGGAAAGTTCATATAAAGATTTGCAACAATCATTTTCATCTCGCGCAATATTCTTTAATGTCAATCCAAAACAATAAATCAGCATACTAATTCAACAGTCTTTAAGTTTATTTGGCAGAGTCCAACAATGATCAACCATATTGCTGTAATGATAAAAATGCTACCCGAAAAAGTATACATGATGAAAATGATCAATTTGAATATGTCATCCAATAGCATGCAAGATTTTTTACACAATTAGTTGGCTGTAAACCATGTATATACTACGTTCTTGGTACGTACGCATGTACTTACGTATCTTATTACTGATTAAAACCAGTTGTAAACTTCAGATGGAGCTTATCGTAAAAAAAAAAAATTGACTGGCAAGCACGTGACCAGCGAAATTTGGGCATAGCCCCTAAAATTATAGGGATGCTTGTCCATGCATGATGATTTCATTCGGAAAATTGTGCCACATTGTACATAACATAGCTATAAATACAGAAATACGTTTTATTTTTATTGTCACTAACGTTAATTTATGACATTTTTACGATGGCCGGATATAAAAGAAATCAAGATTCATTTCAAGCATCCAACTCAAATGATAATGAAAATAACTCAATAGCTACTAGCAGTAGTGAAGCTCAACCAACAAAACGCCAACACTCAGAAAATAATGATAAGGAAAGCATTTGTTGGAAATATTTTGAACCATTCAAGGCCCCAAAAGAGAATGGAACAATAACAAAATGTACGATTCCTGGATGCACAACAAGATACATGTGGTGCGGCTCTACTTCTAATCTTGTTGGCCATCTTAAGACTAAGCATGGTATAACAAAATCATCAACACCTTTACCATCTACAACGTCAACTATTAGCTCTATTAATTCTGAACCAGAAATTAATTTACCATTAATTAAATTTATTGTTTCCTCTGGAGCGCATTTTAGTGTTGTTGATAATTTAAAATCTGCTGGATTTATTAGTCCGGAAATTGATCTATCTACTTCTAATATTATAAAAGAGCAAATAGATAAAGTATATAATCGTTTATTCCTTCAATTAAAGTTAAAAGTTCAGCAAGAGAAATCGACAGTGCTCTCGATTCATAGTACAAAAGATACTAGGTTTACTATACCATATACAGTAATCACTTGTAATTGGCTAACTAAAGATTTTGAACTTCATAAAATCTTATTGCTTGCAAAAGAATGTAATTATTATAGAAATATTATTGAAGCTTTAGAAAAGTGGGAATTGACTAACTTAAAATTTTATAGTTGTTATGATGACTATTTTTTAAAATATTTATATAAATTAAAAGAAGAGAACTATCAAAATCTTGTACAATTACATGAGAATACAGACAATTATGTAATTAATTTATATTATTCAATACTAAAAATTTTAGGGAAATGGGCTAGAGAAAACGTTAATATCCAAGGAATGTATAAAACTATCATAGCTATTAATTATGCCACTGAAAATCTTGGGGATATAATATATTTTTTAAAGTGGAATATTACCAGCATACAACAGGAAATACAAAATATGCAAATAACATTTGATTATTCGACAATTATTGGAATCCAAAATGCAAATAAAATAAGTTGTGGCGTAAAATCTTCGAGTTTTCATGGTTGCATTTATCATCAAATAGCATTTCTTAAATTAGTTGAAATACCTTTTATACTGTTAGTTAATAATTATGATAGCTTTAAATGTTCCAATATCAGAGAGAAAGGGAAACTTTTTAAGGAACTTGAGTTAGATTCTTTACCATTTAGCATATTCACTGAATTACTGCAACTATTTAAACCTTTAGAGCACGCATGCAAAAATTATCATAAAATATCTACGGAAGAGTATATAGGTTTAGTAGACAAATTTGTTATTAATGCAAATAATATGTCAAGAGAACTTCAGTTTAGTGACAATCAAGAACACAAAATCCTTAAATCGTTTTTAATATCAGTTCCTTTATATTTTGAATGCAATGATTTATTCGCTGAACAGCTAGCATTATTTTTAGATCCCAATTCTAAGCCAGGTGAAGTTTCAACCGTAAGTTTTATTTGTTTAATACTAATGCTTATAGTATAAAATAATAGCTAAAAATTTAATATACTTATCTAACGTACTAGGCGGCTATAAACTGTGCGCTAAAAAAATGCCAAGCCTATTATTTTGAAAATATTTTTTCTGGCAATTTGGATAAATCACTACAAGCGGCAAATAAAGAATTAAAATGTTATATTAATCGTCCCCAATCATCTTTAGATGATGATATTAATCCTTATGAATGGTGGAAAGGCTCAAAACAAATGCTTCCTGGATTAGCTGCTCTTGCAAGAGAATATTTGCCTGCACTAACGGTGGATAAAGAAGATATAGTAAAAAATTTGGATAAATTTATGAAAATTTATGATGATGAAGATATGGCAGACAAAACAGCATTTTTACAATATAATATGAAATATATTGATCTGTATTTATGAATGTTATTTTATCATTTTTCATTTCCATATATTTTGTACTTTAAGTAAATAAGCATAGGTTTAAAACATGTACGACTTTTAATTTAGAGCGAAAATAAAGCAGATACATTTAAATAATTGCAATAGTCTATTTTAATGTTTAATCTTAAAAGTGTTTTCATCATATGTTTACTTTTGATTAGCGTGAGATTTTTGCAATGAAAACTGATTTACATTTGCAAGCATTGTAGTTCTCGTAAGTATTGCATATTAGTATCATGATTTTATGCAGTATCTTTACATTTGTATCTTTTCTTAAACATAATTTTTAAATATTTTTTTCACACCTAAAAATCCATTTTGTCTGTATACACCATATTTTATTAAGTTAACTTTGAATGTAACTTAGCAGAAACTTGGAATTTTTGCCATTTATGATTATCATATGATTGTTATATAACAATTTTATGATAAAAATATGATAAAAATATGTTAATAAAAAAATATAATAAATATATGATAAACATATATATAAAGTATTATTATAATACTTTAAACATATTTCTGTAATTCTGTTAAGTCACTATTAACACGATTAATACCATATATTTATAATATAATTATAATATAAATATAATCTATTATTATCTTGTAATTATCTAATAGCAATCTAATAATATAATATTTTAATAATATTTTAATAATAATTTAATAATATTTTAATAATATTTTAATAATATAATAGCAATCTGTTTAAAATAATTAAATAATGTTACTAATATCTTAACACTTAACAATATAATGAAAATATTGTTAATAGTAACTTAACAGATTAAAAATATTTTTATCATATTTTTATCATATGATAGTTATATAATTATCATATGATAATCATAAATGGCAAAAATTCAAGTTTCTGCTAAGAACTTATAGCTTAACTTTCTAAAATTTACATTATATTTATTACTATAAATTCTAGTGAGAGCATTAAAAAGTTGTGCAATGTTAATTTAGCTTCAATGTTGAACATTATATAGAACTTATGAGATAAACTATGAAATTTAACTATGATTGTTACAGATCACTTATAATATTAAATAGTTTTGAAATGAAAGTAATATGGAAAAGGTATCAGGTAATTAAATAGATAAAGAAAAATAGCTTTCGCGCCACTAGTTATATATTTATACATCTTTATTTAGAGATTCTTATGATTATATACTGGGATTTGTAATTTATAGATCTAAAGTCAATTCAGATAAATTAACAATTGATTTTGGATGAGCTAGTTAAAACTGCAAACAACATACAAACACTTTTGTAAATGGATGGATAGAATATAGATTCATTTATATCGAAATACAATCTTATTGTTCCTTTTATAATTTCCATTTAAAACACTATTATCGCATAATTATTAGCGCAGTAATATTGATTGATTTGCCAAAATGATATAAGATTATCAATAGTTCATTATACAACTTGTAAATTTATTTAAATAACATCTGTTAAGAATATAATGGCAAAACCTTTGATTTTAATTAATATAATAAACAAATAATAACGCCTTTTAAATTTTTACAATTCAAATATATACAATTCATTTTAAGCTTACCTGAATCTACGTTCAAAAAGGTTTGTTTAACGTTAGTAAAATTATACTATTGAATGAAGCCACTAAAGACTTGTTCAGTTGGATCAAATATCTTTAAAAGAATTTAGTCATACAGTATATCTATAATTATTTTTATCGGGATCATGATGTTTTAAAAAGTAGTCATATAGATAGTTGTGCTTAAATTTTATACAAGTATATTCATGGAAAGTTCCAGCCGTATAATAACTTTTTTAGAAAATTCCTCACTAATTAAAAGAGTAACATATTTTTTATTATATGCTATTATGTCCGTTGAGCATATTAAAGTTATTATTGATTAAGGCCTTTATAATTTCATGAAGCTATTAGAGACAATGTACTGTGAAATGTCCATGTTTTGCATGAATTATGTACGTATATGGGATATAAAGGATTGGAGCATTTAAAGCGTAAATTGTTCATATGCTTGTATAAAATAGACTGCGCAGATTTTAATAAATATCTGCTTGTAGATAATTATTTCGGTCTGTGTTATATTTCTGACCGGAATTATATTGCATCAAAGTCGTTTATTTGCGAGTGACACAATTAAATAGTTATCATAAACAAAGAACGTAAATTTCGACAATGAACAAAGCGAAGAAATATTGAAAAAAACGAAATACAAGAAATCGGGTGCTTAAATCTGCCTTGTGATACTAATTAAAAAATGACATTTATGCATAAATTACTTTATTATAATCTCTAACCTGAATCCGATCTTAACACCCTCAAAAATTTATATTTGCGTTAATTTTTCCTTTTATTTAATAAATTTATCACTCGCAGAAAGTGTCTACTCCGACAGAGTTATTCTGAGCATTTAACATGTGTAATTTGCTATTTTCTACGGCAACATTTTTGATTACTGCGCTTTTCA